TCTCTCTCTCTCTCTTTCTCTCTCTCTCTCTCTCTCTCTCTCTCTCTCTCTCTCTCTCTCTCTCTCGCTCTCTCTCTCGCTCTCGCTCTCGCTCTCGCTCTCGCTCTCGCTCTCGCTCTCTCCCCCCCTCCCTCCCTCTCTTTCTACCAACGTTGTTCCAACTGGCTCCAAGGGACAGGGAGCCAACTCACAAGGCTTCTTAATGACTTCAGTGATTTCTATCTCAGTAGACTAGTGGCGGTGTTCGTGGTGTTTCTGTTGCCGGCAGTAACCTGGCCAGGAGAAGTATATCTGAGCAGACGTCTAGAAGTGATCGATGGTGGCCAACTTCACTTCCACATCAACTTTTCTGCAATGCCGTCCGGCCAAGTCTAGAAGGTACCTTGACCGCAGTCATAGTCAAGCTTGGCACACGTTTGCCCTATTTACATTGTCGATAAAGTCTTGGCATCTCATCCACAGATGCCGATATCCAAGCACATACAACCACGTAACGTAACCGAACATGCACGATTCAATACTATTTATTGATTGCAGCACTCTATTGTTTTGTCATTGCAGGGCTGGATTGTATTCTTCTTTGTTTTTTTCCCCTTTTTTTCCCCTTCAGTTTCACGTTTTGCTCTCGAAGACTTCGCACCACACTCTTCGTGGACTTAATCCTTTGCTCGAGTTGACTATTGAGCTGCTGACCTCTTTTTAGTTTCTTCTCATAGGTGTCTAAAGTAACGTAAGCTGCGTCAAGCTTACTTTTCAGCGTTTTTGGACTGCACGCGATGCAGTAATTGTGATCAGAGTTTCGCTGGTAACCACGGAACGTTGTAATAGCCTTCGAGTCATCGGCTTTTCTCTCCGTATCTTGCGCGACTGTCTTTGACACCTGTTGCGTCTCACACACCCTGTCGGCCAGAGGCAGCCGATGTTCCACTTCCTGAATCGGAAACATTGAAATGCGTGAAAATAATTAATTTAATATTTGCGAAATAATAATCGACATATTTGTGAACAACAGGAACTGTATTGTTTCCTTCAGTCATATAGCTAGTAATTACCAGCATGATTTTCTAATGCATATATACATACCACCATACGCATTCTTGAATTTCTTCTTGTTTGCGGCTTGGGGAAGGTGAAAATCGTTGGCGCAGCATTTTCTCTGAGACGTATCGTCTGCCCCGTCATGTCGAAATACTGTGGCTCAAAATGGTCGCAACATAGTACTGACTTATCTTTTGGCCAGTACTTGGCCCTCCGCATATTATCTACCCATAGCCTTCGTCTCTTCTTGTCCTTAGGAAATCTGCAAGATGTCAAGTTCTTAATCTTTCAACCTCATTCTAGTCTCTGAACAGAATTTATTTTATTAAAATAGAAAATCCATTATCAACAGACCTACCAATTGTCTCACGCATTTCGCGGGAGACTCGCGCATCTGGACCCATTTTCCCACACTCCCGCATGCCCTAGGCATTCTCACGCATTCACTCAAAAGAAAAAAATCATCAGTTTTTATACCTTAAAATTTAATTTTGTCTTCATTTCTTTGAATGCTAACAGAATACAAATTATGTAGTATTGTACTGCAAATACATATTTTAAAGCCAAATATTCAGATAGTGGTCGTGTTTGAAAATATTCTGAACCTCCAGCATTATATATCCAAAATGACCCATTCTCCAGCAAACTCTCACTGAACCTCCAGCAAGCTGATTGGACACCCTTGGCCTTGGAAGTTCTGTATCAAATTATCTACTTGTAGTAATTGTTTTACCCCACTCATTTTATTCTTTAAAGGGATACATTTCTCTAGGTTCTTAAGATATTTTCAGCTAAGATAGGTTAAAACCTTACGCTTCATAAAAAGTTTTATGGTTCAATATTTATTAGAAAAATTTGTAAAAAAAGTTTTTAAACGGATGGCTATACTGTTGCTTACAACGACGGTGGCGCCACTAGCAGGCACCCACTGGAAAGGTTGCGCTAGGGTCCCTATATACAGAGAGTTGCGCCAACTCAGGATTTGACGCCATGTTGTTTCCAAATGGATCCACACCGCTGCCGCTTAAGTACAGCGCTGTATGGATACGCTGTACAATGGTCCGTAGTAATTAATTAGACTAATCTGTTCAATAAACTCAAAATGTTTACAGCAGTGTATATAGATATATCTCATGCTGTATCATTAGATTTCTGTACAATGTAACTCAAATCGTTTTGTGGTTCGCTGTAGATTATATTTACACTTTTTTCCGCCATGTAGTGTTCTTGGTGGTGTGTGATATTGTTGCGAGTTAGTCTTTCGCGTAGATACTTTGTTGGCTGTAGGATGTGAATGTGAGAGACGCAGCGGTGGGCGGGCGGGTGTGCAATGAGAAGACGTGCGAGTGCGAGCAGGAGGCAGGTGGAGTAAGACGATGTGTTGGTGATGAGTAGTCGGTGGAGAGTGGGGTTGAGAGATGTGACGGCGCAGAGTCGGTGTGCGCCGCGCGAGTGATGGGCTGAAGTGTGAGGCGCGTTTGTGTGGATGTGGGTGGTAGGAGGACGAGCAGGCGAGCAGCTTAGTTGAGAATAGATAGACAAGAGTGATCAAAGGGATAAGAATGGCTTCGAGCGTCGCGCGGAGCTCGGGCGGTCGTCGCGAGGGTGTGAGACATGGTGTGTTTGTCGAGTTGTAGAATGCGTAGGATGCGGACTAGAGGAGGTGGTCGTGAGGATAGTGAGAGTCGCGCTGCGTGGTAAAGTGATGTGGTATTGAAGCACGATTAGTCTAATTAATTACTACGGACCATTGTACAGCGTATCCATACAGCGCTGTACTTAAGCGGCAGCGGTGTGGATCCATTTGGAAACGACATGCCGTTCAGCGATCACGTGACCGATTTTTCCGACTCGTCATGGCGCAACTCTCTGTATACAGGGACCCTAGGTTGCGCAAAGCAACGTTTTCGGCTGCAGGCTACAGACCGAGGGTGTTTCTTATTATTAATTTATTTTAAGAGCAGACATATTGCAATATCTTATAAACGACATATATTATAGTTCCAGTTTTAATATGGATAAATTTGTCCTAAAATTAATATCGTTCGGTTAAATAGCATTAATTTAGGTATAAATATAATTGCACTTTTGTGATTAGCATTCGGTATGTAACGTGCAAAATAAATTGGCAAATGTGCAACTTTTTCAGGGTGGGTGCACAATCGCGAATGCGAGATTTTCGTCAGGCTTTGTGTGATTTCGCGTGACACAGCTCGGTTATGAACACAGACAGTATGTTTTTATAACAAGTGAACACTGTTCTTCAAATAGAAACATAGATGGAGTAGAATGGTTGAATATTTGTGTTGTATTCGTATGAAATCAAGCGAGCGTCGAACCCTAACCCTTGTTTACTTGAGATAATGCTGAAAATTAAAAACTGCCGGGCATTTAGGAAATCAAAGACCGTGCCCGGCAGCCGTCAGATATATGCGGGGTCAGTGTGCATCAGCTAGCGTGCAGCGGCCAGCGTGTGTTTGCAGATCGCCAGATGAGCATTTGGACGGCATTTACAGAAAATTGTCCAAATAATAGGTGAAAGAGAGTAGAGAAACATTAAGACTTTGGTAGTCTGGATCTGGATAGTTTACTGCGTAGCCCACGGTCATGTGGATAATAACGCAGGGACATTCTGTAAGGAAAATTTTAACGTCCAGGGGCCCGTTGCCAGAAAAAAATTAGTCTTAACATTAACCTTAAACTTAAGTTTTTCTCTTAAAGCGTTGCCAGAAACTTCGTAAAGTTAAGAGAATTAAAAATTCTCGTAACTTTTCTCTTAACTTAAGAGATCCTAGACCCTCC